TCAGTGATTGCCTTACCAGCCTACATTGATCTGACTCATTTTATAAGCTGTACTATTTCCTATAGATCATTTTCCAGACGGTTCTGCTAAGATTAGTGTCTGGCGAAAAGCTTCAGCAGATATTTCCTTTGCAACATCTCAACCAACAATTGGTCCAGTTATCAACGCTATTTTCAAGTTTTGAACAAATCGACTTTCAAGATCTACATATCTACATGTGCCAATGTTTCCATTTATCAACGTTATATTTTAAGATTTGTGCAAGAACTTAGCTAACAGATGTTTCTGCATATAAAAGCTATCTTCATTTTTTATAATGTTTAAGCTACTGTCTGTAAAGTTCATATACTAATAATTTAATCTACTCAAACTTATGGATTCAAAATCATCAAATTATTTTGTATTGCTCTTACTGGAAAACAACAGGGAAAACTGTGTTTTCCAATATGTATTTTACTTGTACTCGCATATATAGATATTCTCGTTCAGTGCTGCCCTCGATATGCAAATATTTTTTTGTATGTCCCAAGTTTTGCATTCCCATGTACCCGATGATCATTGTGGTTCAACTGCATCCTGCATATAAATCACCATGAGACAACCCTTCACCATAAAAGTGTGACATACCATCCTGATGCACGTGACTACCTATATTCGATTCTACTGAACTATCACTTCTTATTAAACAGTGCTCTGCTGCAGACGTTTTTGATTGTGCTCTCTTCAAGCATGCCTCGCCTTCCATGGGCTTTGGATCATTTTGCTTTGGCTTACCATCAGGCAGATTACCCTTTTCTTGATTCTCAGCAATTAGAATCAACTTTGCCTGTATGAGGGGCTGACGCTGATAATTCAATCCATTTATCCCATGCCCAGTTTTCCTGCCTACATTTTACCATGACTCTCCTACAGTACTTGTCCATCATACACCTTCTTTACAAAGCACTATACCGATTTCCTGAGGGATATTTGGGGGGATACATTCTCCCTCATTACCTCCACATTGACAAGATTATCCTCTTTGGCTCCCTCCCTTCACATATGGTTTCTTTGCTGTAGGGATCTTCTGGGTAGGGACACTGTCTTGTCCCAGGTTGAGTTACTGTCATTTATTTTCAGAACTTGTGGATGCTCTTTTTCTCCATTGGTCTATTTTGGGGGATATTCTTGAGAATTTGAAGTCATGCGTTGAATCTGTGAGGCAACATTTGAGCCTTTAATCTTTCGTTGCTAGTTTGTCTCATTCTGAGCCCTTGCAATCTCCTATTACTGTAACACGTGCTGCACCCTCCCATCCTTTACCTCAACCTACCATTAGAGGCTCTACCATTCATCGTGTTTCTAGACATAGTTGTCATCGGTGCCAGCAGTACCAGTAACTATCTTGTGGGTTCTTTCCAGTAGAGGCTCCTTTGGCCAGTTTTGTTATCCTGTCATGGGAATTTGCTGCTGATCTTTGGATTTTCCAGGTTTTGTCTGAAGGACTTTTCATCTAATTCCTTCCTCCTTCCCTGTATCCATATCCTTTCCATTACCTTGCGATCCTACTACCAGTCAATATCTGTCTGAGGCAGTATGGTCTCTTCTATCACAGATAGCTGTCGAGCCTGTCAGCCATAATTTCCCAGCCTTTTACTCCAGGTTGTTTGTTGTACCCAAACAAACTGGGGGTTGGTGTTCTGTAATCAATCTTTGCTGCCTCAACTGATTTGGATCTTCCCCAATTTACCACAGAGTCTTTTCTCACACTAAGGTGGGCTTTTTCTCTACAACTGTAGATGGTTAAGGTAGATGTGTCGAATCCTTATTTTTGGAGTCATTCACAACACACTCATCTGCTTCTGGCAGAAGCAGCTCAAGTATGTTGGATTATCAAATTGGAGAAGTCTTTCCTGTTACCTACCCAATATCTTATCCACTTGGGTGTTTGTTTTCAACATCCACCTTAGTCAGTCCCAACCTTCTCTTGACTCTGTTCGATGTAGCTTTCAGTTCTACACACCCTTGCTGCTTCCTCTCTTCATACTCATTAGGTTCTGTTGCCTTTGGGGATGTGGGCTTCTATGGAGGCACTTATCTCCTTGGGTCAGGCACAGGTGAGGTTTCTTCATGCTTTTGAAGGATGCTTACATCTGTCCCTTGCACTGGTTCCTCCACTTATTCATTGTGGGATTTCAGCTATATATGTGAGTAGAGGTAATGTACCATATTGGAAGTTATAATTTTCCTGTACTGAAAAAGTATTTCTGATAGTTACTTACCTCCTATAAAAATTCCCACTCTTCCACCCCTCTGAACACTGATGCTTTTTTTTTGCCTAAACTCAAAGTAATAGTTTGGTAGAATTGAATAGAGAGAGTCGTGCGTCAAGAGGGAATGTCATGCTCTTACTGGTGGAGGGTTGTCGCATAATGATTTGCATGAGAGATGCAGTTGAACCACGATGATCATGGGATACGTGGGAGAGCAAGGCTTGTGGCATGTGAAAAAATAGTTTTGCATGTAGAGGGCAGCACTAAATGAGAATAGCTTTATATATGAGAGGAGGTAAGTACCTATCAGAAATACAATCAAGTGGAATTCACACAATGTGATGTATACACTATGATGAACATAACTTGATTCAAGTGCCATTTCCTTTCATTTTTCAGGTGCTCGATCTAATGATCATCCTAGTTTCAGATACAAGTGACAACTACATTGTGTAGTATTACACTATGTTTTATATCACCACTCGAGGCCTCAGAAACTAAAGGTTACAACACCCTTTGAGTCTTATCTTTGGGTTCAATCACAGCTAAACTGAATAGGAGATTTTTGGTAGTGGTTCCATGCATTGTGAGAGCTGAATGTTACCTCTAGATGTAGAACTTCGTTATTTGATTCATCCAGAACAGCCGGATAAGTACTTTCAGCTCTTTCCTCCTGACCTTAAGGGTTGTAGTTGGGTAAAACAGTGGTCTTATCATAATCTGACACGACTACTTCCTGTACTGACTCTTTATGAAACCAGCTCACCCGAGGTTCATTGGTCATGTATGGATGCAACTGACCAATATGTATGACAAGATTGGGCACATTCTTCAACTGTTGTATCTTCTGTATCAAAGGACTAACATATCATGTCACAAGATGGGGATCTAGTCCAGCCAGAGCAAAGAGGCTTCCATGGTAGTGAAACTTAGCAACACCACACTCAATCTCCATTTTGGTACATCTGTTCCTTCACTGTCATATTGCAGCATCTCTTATATTGTAATGCAGTTATTTCTAGCTGTTGATGTGCAAATTCATGCATGCCAATTAGTGCAAACCTTAACTACTGCACATATTCATGGGAAATTGTTGGACATCTGCTCCAGGTTTAGGACCATACATCATATTTACAGGAGCAAAGCTTGTAGGATAAACTATTTGAAACTAAAGTCTCAAACTAACTAAATGCCAGGTTTCGTAGTTTTCGAGAAACTTCATACTTACACAGAAAGACATTTGCTACCATATAACTGGTCATATTCCTACTGTAACTTCTAAATACCACCTAAACAACAGTTGTATGACGATTCTTTTGACTTTCTTACACACTGTTGTGATAAGCAGTGTTTTGTGTGGGTGGTAACAGATATTAACTTCTTCAAAAAGAACAAAGATAACTTGAAAAAAGATTGACATAATAGTTTTCTTGACCATGTGTTATGTGACATCTATACATATTAAGAACAAAAAATATTGTAACACTACAAGAATATATAAGCCAATGGTATATTCATATACCACAAAAACTCATTTTTTATAACTCTTTGCTTTTTACCACAAATCATATTTTATTTCCATGTATTAACTTTTCCATCAGTTTCATAATGGTCCAACTTACTAATGAAATTCTTGTGAATTACCTTGAAGACTCCCATACAAAAAAAAAACAGATCATGGGCATCATCCAGGATGCCCTCATCAAGAAGGATAGAAGTCTTGTCAGAAAGTCTCCAATAAGTTGGGGGAAGATGTATTTTTTTTTAAATTATGCAGAGAACCAATACTAATTTTCCAAATCTTACTAAATGACTTCTGACAATGAAAGTCAAGCTATAATTTGTTGATCAACAGGAATTTCTCTAATGCAAAGTGATATATTGTATTTTGATTATAGTAGGACATGAAACTAGAAAATTTTACAATGACATGATGCAAAGTAGAAATTATTATTTAAAAGTTATCATATTATTTATAGGCTCTGCCAATGGTGGCATAAGTGTCCAGTGGTAAATTATTGATTTAAATGTTTGGCAAAATGTGTGAAACTTCACTTGGTACATGATGATTTTAGATTTTTTTCAAATAGCCCACAAAAAACTTTAGCTATTTATTTAAAGTTTATAAAATCTAAATAACCAGACATTTGTTAACTGTAATACCATATTATGATTTCATAATATTATTTTCAGTTAAATCGAGGTTATTCATCTTGTTTAATTAGTATCATGACTCACAGAAATAATAAACTAATCAATATAAGTTTTTCTGATCATTACTGTTCTTAATTATACAAAGTTTCCAACTTCTACATGCTAATAATCCATTAGTTGAATGTAAATTATTAATCAATTAGCAAATTCCACTAATTGCTTTGCTCTAATTATTATAATTATATCTCATCTTGTAAACAAAACAAGAAGAATGTCACTTGAAAAAAATTAAATCTTCCTTTAGTATTCAAATATTGTCACTCACTTTTTAGCAAGTGAAGCTAAGAACAAAATGTCAAACACACATTATAGTAGATATTTAGTACTCATAATTAACAATATATATATTTTTGGGAAACATGTTTATAACAATGCAGTTTGAAAACTAAACATTAAAACAAAATTTGAAGCATTAGCATTCCAATTTATTTTTTAATTAATGATAATTAACATACATACTGGGATTTCTTTTTTTTTTTGGAAGCCTTTATGGAACTTTCCACATTCAATTTGTTTCTTTGCTTATTTGACCAGATATATGAAGGTTTGGAAGCAGAAATAACCATGAATGTATTAAAAATTAAAGCTGAACCTTCTTCTGATGAGGAGCATAGTAGTTTATTGGATATTGAGTTACCAAACAAAAAAGAAATTATTGAAACATTACCTGGTAAGTACATGTTTTCAGTTTTTAACTTTTCTCATTATACTTTTTTTTTAATTCTCCTTTGAAATTTAAGTTACTGATAAAACGAATCTGTAATATCATGAATTAATTCACCATAAATGACAAATGTAATATTAAGATTAAAATTGATTTACAGATGCAGATTCATTTATAATTATAACTATACAAAACAACTATGTGGGTCACAAAGCAGACATGCATCTCCTTTTGAAGATACTATTTATCCTATAGGTAGCTCAACTCTACCAGGTACTTAAATCTGAAATGGAAACACCAAACAGTAACAGGGAACAAAGAAATTCATGTCAAGAACAATGAATAGAGAGCACAAGGTAGTTACATCAATCTCAGTTAAAATACAGTACAACACAACTTTTTTTATTTGAAAAAAACAGAAGCTATGAAATATAGTTTATCAGGAATTATTCCTCTTGCAAAAAAAGTGCACTACCTTGTGTACGTATATCTAATGGCCATTATCAGGTTGTTCCCTACACATAAAGGCTCAATCAAATCTATTAACCAGACCTGATTCAGATGTTTACATCCCATAAGCTTCAATTAATTCAAAATTTGCTGTCAGTGAAACAGGGTGACTTGCAGTCCTACAAAAGTTAATGTTACCTTTTTGAAGCATCATGTCTTCTTTACTCTTTAAAATTGTAATTATTTGCACATTCTGCCAGAATTATTTTCATGATTTTTTAATAATTATCACCATACCCTATAAAACTTAAATTTTCTTAATTTTGTGGTTAATAACATAGTTTGGATTAGTTTTCAGCCAAAGAGACATAAATGTTATTGGATGCTGTCAGTTGGACGCTGGGAGCATCTGCTCAGGTTTAAGGAGTTCAGAAAGTGCTGTCATATAGGAGTATTTCGAGGAAATTAATGCTGCATTATTGACTTCATTAATCAATATAATCACTTACCTTTGAACATCAATTATATTTATTAGTGTCATGTAAATGATCAGGTAATTGAAATTACAGTTAGATCAATTAATGTGACAAAAAATAACAATCAACTAACTAAAATTAGTGTTACCAATTATGACCGTTTTCGATTATTCCAATTATACTGTAATCAAAATTATAATAAATAATCAACTAACAAAATTAGCATTTCTAATTATTAATGTTTTTAATTATTTACATAATTCAGTAGAGCTGAGCAGTTAGTGGACTGCTAGTTGATGAATTGTAGGGCTCATTAACTTTCTGTACACAGCTCACTCATTTTGACTGAACTTGTAACCATGAAACTATGCATACAATAACTTTGAATGTAGTAAGTGCATCTTCACAAAATTTGGCAAACCTTTATTAAACATTACAAGTCTACCTTACTCTAAAAAAAGCATATTTTTAATTATGTATTTTTATTGAAGATTTATCCTTGAATTTATGAAACCTTTATTGAGTCATTCTGAGTGAAAGTATCAAGTGTGAGTGCTAAGAATAAAAATTATTCTTTTAAATATTACAATTTTCATATTCTATTTGCTTAACCTCTAACTAAAACTCTATACTTTATCTCTTATTTTACCTTAACACTAACTGTAGTGAAATCATCTGCAGCAAAAGTTGAAAAACATGAAACAAAATCCTTCTTCATTTAATTTTATTGTTTTACTGCTTTTTAAACTGTGTCTAACTACTACAAAAGGCAATAAATCACCCAGCAGAAGTGCAGAGTTTAGGGTAAACAAAGTTTCACATTTCATCACATGACATCTTCAACTACTTATGTTCCTTGTGCATTACACATGGACAAAAAAAAAAAAAATTGTTTTTTCATTAAAGTTTTCTTTTCTAAAGTAACAAGTTTTAAATTTTTACGTTTTTAGTTACTTTTGTTTAATATATATATATATATATATACATAACAATAAGTAAAAAAATTTGCATAAAAACAAGAAATTCTGATATGGTATCTTACCTCTACTCACATAATAGCTTCTCTTGTTCAGTGCTGCCCTCTATATGCACATTTGTTTAACATTGTTTTTACTCCCACCTACCCTATTTATAACATTGTTCTACTGTGTCTTTGCATGCAATTAAGCAAGCAACAACCCTCCACCAATAGGAGTGTGACACACTCTCTTGACACAGGTTATTCCCTCTATACTATTTATCCTAACCTTCACTTCTTGTTTAGGCACTGTTGTTTTCAGATGTTCTTGAACTTTGCTTGTTTTTTTTTTCACTTGAACTCACTTAATTTTTTTGCATTTTTTTCTTGAAGTAGTAATTTGAAATAGTTTAACATTTCAATTACAACTTATGTTGAGGTAAACTTAACTCTGTTGTGTTTTTTCTCTTTATTATTTAATTTTGTGAATTGATCTTTGTTGAACCATGAATTTGGAATTTTGTGTTATGACTACTACTAGCATGACTACTACTTCGAATGTCATTTCTCAGGCTCCAGGTTCAACACTCTCAGCTGAGGAGGTCTCAGTCTTACTTCAACAGGAACTTGAACACTACATGAGACAACTAGCTTCTCCTGAACCTAGACAAGATCTTCCATTTCCAGAAGAACCTGGTCTTGCAGATGAGGATTTAGAGAGCCTTTTTTCTTCCTCATTCTATGCCATGCAATCCCGTGTGTCACCTGTAGACGCTGCTAGGCCTCCCTCAGCCTTTTTGGACATGATTTCATAGGTATGCTACATTTTGTCTGTGTCCCCTGTCTCATATGACCTAGTACCTTTCCTTTACACATGGCTCTTTCATCAGAATACCTTGTTTTCTTCCCTTTCCAGATATCAGGATCCATGTTGACCAGTTCCAGGCACAATTACTTGCAGGATCCAGCATGCCTCATCCCCCTTGATCTTTAGATCTTTTTACTTTGGCTTATCATCATGCAGACTTTCCTTTTCTAGACTAACAACACTTGGAGTCTTTGATGCAAGTGTGGGAGCTCAATGCTGTTTCTTTGGTTAGTTTCTGCCAGGCCCAACTTTCCAGATTCTGACTGACCCTAACCTCTATCTTTAAGTACTTGTCTACCATGCACCTCCTGGCTGAGGCTCTCTACTGATCCCCTGAGGTGTTTTCAGCGGAGATCCGCACCGTAATATTTTCCACATTGGCACGTTTATTTTCTTCTGTCCTTGCTTTCCAAACATGTAATCTCCTATGTAGGGATGCATTTTTGTCACAGGTATGCCTACCCATTATGTATCTGCATGATCTTCATGATGCACCTTTTGTTTACTAAGATCTCATTTTGGAGATGTTCTTGAGTCTATAGAGTTTGAGGTGGAATCTACGAGACAACGTTCCTCCATTTCTTCTTTGGTTTCCAGGTTGTCCCAGCTTTCACCTGCCCCTGATCTCACTCTTGTTTCCTTCTCAACCTTTACTTGTTCCTCCTTCCCTGGTTTTGATGGTGATTAATCTTATTTCTGACTGCAGGAACACATGCTGCGAATGGTACTGCTGACAACCTGGTGGGTTTTAGCAAGGTGAGAGCTCACTTCCAATGCTTGGTTTCATCAATTGCTGTACAAAAGACTCTTCATCCACTTCCTTTCCCTCTCCTTTGTCACCAATTCTGGTGTCCTTTCCCCCTCCTCCTCAGGATTCTGCAACTTGCCTGCATCTCTCCAAGGCAGTTCAGACTATTCTACTTCAGGATACTATAGAACCAGTCAGCCAAACTTCTCCAGGTTGTTTGTAGTTCCCAAAAAACTGAGGACTGACATCTGGTGATAAATTTGTCACAGTTCAACCATTTCATAGACCTTCCTCTTTTTACCATGGAGTCTTTTCTCACTCTATGGTGGGCATTCAGTGGATGACTAAGGTAGGTGTCTTGGATGTTTACCTACACATCCCCATTGCCCTACAGTTCAGAGGATATCTTCGATTTGTTCACAGGGGACAGGTTTACCAGTTTTGCATGTTGCCCTTAGGGCTGGCCACTGCACCTTATGTATTTTGTTGAGTGGTCAGGACATTTGCTCAACTACTTCATATTCCCAGCTTGCACTTCCATTATTATATGAATGACTAGCTTCTGCTGGCTACATCAGATTAGGTAGCACAAGAACACACCCAATTGCTTCTGAGAAAACAGCTCATGTTGAATGGATCATTAAGGTGGAGAAGTCCTTTTTTTTACCTACCCAATATCTCCTCCACATAGGAGTATTTTTCAACTCCTACCTCAGTTGGACCCAACCTTCTCCCTTTCATCTATGGTCGATGGAGCTTGGGATCACCAAGTCTTTTACTCCACTTACTCTCTCATGCCTCATTGTGTGTCATTTTCTGGGTGCCTTCATTATGGTCACAGATCATCTGTCTTGTCCAGACCAGATCTTTCCCACAGATTGGTCCCTCGACCCTCAGGTTTTCCAGTGGCTGTGCACTCAATGGGGTACTCCTCATTTGGATACATTTGCCACTCAGCACAATGCCAAGTTGCTTCTGTTCTTGTCTCTGGTACCTCCTCCACAGGCTTTGACTGTGGATTCTCTCAGTTAGGATTGGTCCAACTGGTACCTATATGCCTATCTTCTAATCTGACTACTACACAGGGTGATCTTCATCATCAAGACTATTCCATGAATCATTGCTAATTGACTTTTCAGTCCTGATACACTTTCTCCCAAGGAGTGACCTCTCAATCCTCCTAATTTTTGGTGGATCTGCATCCTGTAAGGTACTCCTCCATGTGAAATGTTTGAAACTTTTATCACTTTCCAGTTAGTTACATCTTTTGTTTTTTGGTCTCTGGTTCATAATCCACTTGCCCTGGTTGTTGTTAAAGTTCAGACAAGCTTACATTAGTTTTTTCTCATTCCATCAGTCTTTCTGATTGATATTTCCTGGCCAGCACTACTTTGATTTTTTTCAGCTGTTTTGGCTTGATTTGTTTCTTTTGTTCTGGATCTATTTCTTTAACCTACATTTCAGTGGCTCATGTGATATATTTCTTTCAACTTTTTTGTTTCTTAC